AAGATGGCCCGATATATCGTCCTCGAGTTGAGCAGCTCACCCTGGAATATGAATTTCGGAAAGAGCGCGTTCTGTGGTCGCTTGGAAGGGGGGGGGGGGTTGGAACCGGGCCCCCTGCCCCCCATGGATGGAGGGGGGGGGTTCGAACACCCCACCCCCCCTCCCGTGACGGACGCGGGGGGGGGTTTGACCCCCCCCCTCTCTCTTTTCCCTTACTTCTCCTCTCTCCCTCATCTCGGCTGGCGGCGGCGGCGGGGCTCGTGCGCAGACCAAACTGAGACCAAGTCCAAGTCTGGCACGTATGTTGGCTTCTAGAACCTCTGCGTTGACATAAGAGGTGTCACGTAGTCCTCACATTCGTCTTGGACTTCCCTACACTTACAACCTTAGTGTGAGGCTATCCCTAGTAGGTTGGGATTGGGCCCAGTTTGCTTGTCGCACTGGTTGGGATTGGTCCCACTTGGTTGGGATTGGGCCCAGTTGGTTGGGATTCGGCCCACATGCGGTTGAAACCTCCCCCCCCGTCGGCGCCAGGGGGGGGTTTGAACCCCCCCCCCTCCCCTTGGGCTGCCTCTGGTAATCGTCGCTGCGTCCCCGCCGTCGGCGCTGCTGGCGGCCGCCGGCGCCGGCCGCCGGCTCCGGCGCCGAGAGGGTGTGTGTGTTCAAACCCTTTCCCTCCTTGGGAGGGGGCGGGGGGGGTTCGGAAGGGGGGAGGTTTGGGGGGGGTCCCCCTGGTTTTGACCGACGGCGCCGGGTGGGGGGGGGAGGCCCACCCCCTTTCGAAACGCGCCGCCGAATTTTCCCAAGGCAAGCGCCCGTGAAATACGTTCTCTCGAATTTCGAGATCTCATTTCTGAAGGTCAAACCAGGTTACCGCCGGGCACCTCGTAGAGCTCTTTTCTTGCACAGCGCTCCTCGGAACACATGAAGGAAACTTCTGAAGCGAGAGCCGAAAAATTAGAAAAATCACGATTTTTCGGTTTTCATCCAAAGTCGGTTGCTCCAAGTGTTTTGATAGTAGTACTGCACCTACGGACCTGATAATTTGACTGGCAGACGCGGCATTACCAACTACAGGTGCGAAACATCTGATGTTTTAACATGAGTGGTCAAATATCTTTCAAATCGTAGCAAAACCGACCCAAAGTTGTCACAATGTCTCTTCTCGTCGGGTCGACCAACTAGCTCTACCCCGCGCCGGCATTCCTTTAGCTCATCGATGACGGGCAGGAGTTCGGAAGGTCTGGGGCGCCCTGGAAGTGCGTCACCCTCCTGATCGTTGGCGCCGCGTTCGTGTTCCCACTGCAGCGTTGTATGCTGTTGTGTTAGAAGTAGAGTGAATGGATTATCCAAGGCAGTGTGCCTCTTCGAACTCCTGGCGATGACTTTTGTCGTCGCGTTGCTGCTCAAGTACGCGCTAATTTCTCTGCGCGCGGTCCAACGCCGTCCAGCATTTTTCTGCGGCCGGGGCCTTGCTTCAGGCGCGGGCCGCGCCGTCTTTCGGGCTTAATTGAGCGCCAGAATCTGATGACGGCGACTGCAAAGGCGACGCTCTATTTGCTGCAGTTACTGTCGGGATATGTCGGCCTGGGAGCAGGTTGCGAGATGCAAGCCGCATAATTGGGCCCCAAGCTTTCGCGCACTCTGGCGCACTCCGAGGGCACTTCCGTGCGCGCCCACTCGCTCGCGGCGCACTCTGGCGCACCCCGAGAGCGCTCCCGCTCGATAGAAAACGAAGTGAAATCCCATTCGGTGTGGAAAAACCAGCGCTTCGCGCGTACCCGCTCGAGGGTGATGCACCCCCCATCTCGAATCCTCGTTGCCTAACGTGGTCCGCGAGCCCGTCTTTCCATCGTAGAAAAAAAAACGGGATGCGGAGCATTTTGCCCAGAATCCTACGTAAATGACGACGTTCGGCGACGCCTCGATTCTTGTCTTCTCGGGGCCCGATATCCCCCTTGTGCGTGCCCGCTCGCACGCGCGGCGCACTCTGGCGCACTCCGAGGGCGCTTCCGTGCGTGCCCGCTCGCTCGCGGCGCACTCTGGCGCTCCTGCTCGCGTCTGGACTTTGGGGGGCCTCGCGGGCGCAGCGTCGGGCTGTGGGGGCAGGTGGGGCCTCGGCGGCTCTGGTGGAAAGTGCGCTACTGATGAGCCACTTCGGAGGTGTGGATGGGCAGTGGTTTTCTTGGGCTTCCCTGATCGGCTCTCTCTTCAGATGGACGCTATTCTGTGTGGTGGCCTACCTACTGTTGAGCAATCTAGTCCACGTGCTGATCTGTACGCATTTCTTGTTGTTTTTTTCTCCATGCTGTTGGTGACATCTTATGCTATTCTGCATATCCGCCGTTGGTGAGAGGGCTGGGGCAGCCGCGAACTCAAACAGTTGCTGATCGCACATGTTTGATCTGTGGGTTCGGATCTGGTCGGCCCTCGATGATCGCGGCCCTGGTCGGGTCGACGTTTTCTGGGCCAAGAGTTGTTCGACGGCCCTGCAAAGGGC